ATTGAAATATAGCACTACTTGTTTTTAACTCTGCGTAAGCCAAAGTGATAAGTCGACTATTTCCTAAGAATTCTCACTTGGGCCTGGCCGGTTACCTCAGTTGGTTAGAGCACAGCCTTATAACACCAGGATCACAGGTTCAGATCCCTGTACCCGCCAGCTGCCAAAAAATAAAAGTAAAACTGATTAAAGAAAAACATATATATTTTTGGGCCGTCCCATGGCTCACTTGGGAGAGTGTGGTGCTGACAACACCAAGTCAAGGGTTAAGATCCCCTTACAGATCATCTTTAAAAAAAAAAAAAAAAAAAAAAAAAGCATTCTCACGTGGTATACCTTGATCTAGCAAGAAGCAAACTTATATATATTTTTTTTGCCCTTCTGACTGGAGGGAGTTAGACTAAAAAACTGGTGAATCAGGAAATGTGAATCTCTAATGCTCTGTGATGAAAATGAAGACTCTACAGCTCCTCATTAAGTTGAGAGGCCATTTTGAAGCTCTCTTTCCACAATGGGATTTGTCCTCCTCCCCCAAGGTAAAAGAACCTTGGTATAGGATATTAATTTAAAAAGTCAGAAGAAAGAGCAGCACTCAGATATTCAAACACAGCATAATCTTACAAAGCCTTAGCTGAGCTCTCACTTACCCTGCCCTCCAATCCCTGAGGTGGTGGGAACATGGATAGAATAGGAAGTACTTATTCCATCAACCGTTGCTCAAAGGAGTTAGCCTTCTCAGTTCTTTGGGAAAGGTAATCAAGAAAAAGTTGTCTGTCTACAGCCGTACCACTCTAACCATGTCTGATCTTGTCTGACCTTGGAAGCTAAGCAGGGCTGGGCCTAGTTAGTACTTGGATAGGAAACCACCTGGAAATACCATGTATTGTAGGCTTAAAAAAGAAAAAAGAAAAAGAAAAGGTTATTACAGCAAATGAAAATAAACAGAGATGCCCACATTAAACCTAAGCAAGATGAAAAGAATCACTATGGCAGCTACAGCTCTAAGTATACATAATAAAAAGAGAAAGAAAATATTTAAAAATATTTAGAGGTCTAAGAGTCCAGCCTAGAAAGTTATAGAACAAAATCCCCGATTAAGTGTTTTATGCTTTGCGTAATTTAATAAGAGCATGAATTCATAAAACTAGGTTCAAATATGAGGGAAAACAATAAAATGAAAAGGGAAACGCAGAGCTAAGAAAACAAATTAAGAACAAACATTATTACTGAATAATAATTAGTTAGCATTTAGTTAATAAATAAAATAGGCTTATAAGTAAATTAATAAGAAGTAGCAAGGAATGCTAAAGCAGCAAGGAATGAGCTGCACAGCTGAAAATCAAATTCTTGACCCAGAAGAAAGGCTTGTGATAATCACAGGTTAATGGAAAAGAAAAGAAACAAAAAGATTTAAACAATTAGAGCAATGATAATAAATATGAAAACCTATGATGAGCTATCACAAGGAAATTGTGTTCCTGAAGTAGAACCTAATAAATGGAAGAGAGTCCAAAGAAATACTATTAAATCTTCAGATATTCTAGAGACTTTTGATACAGGATAGTTGACATTCAGACATTTTCTAGTAAAGTTTTTGAACTTCAGTCTAATTCTTGACCATTTTCATATCTTAACTCAAATAACACTTCTTCAAAGCACTCTTTTTTTTTTGGTCACAGTGACTGGATATGTTTTGTACATGCATTTGATTATTGATTGTCTTTCTTCCTTACTAGACTGAAAATCGTGTGAGGCCAGAGAGTATCTGTTTTATTAAGTAATGTTTATCCAGTGTCTAGCTCAGTACCTGGCCATAGTAGGTGCCTCATAGATTCTTGTTCAATAAGTAGGGAATGAGTGAATTTTATTTAATTACTATAGTTTTAGAAAATATGTGATTACTTTGATAAGGTTAGTCCCTCTGTATTACTCTTTTCTTAAATGAAGCAACATGCCTAAATGGACATTTCATAGTAAAACTTAGGTCCATGTGAATAATTACGATGTTATAATTTTATAAATTACTTTTTGTCTATGTTTCTTTGTTACATTAGAAAACAATAAATTATATGTTCCTCATTAATGTATTTGTCTTTCTCTCCTTTCTTGAAACCTACTAAGTATGGAAGACTGGTTGACCTGTGTCATCCTATTCATAAGAAATACCAGCTGGCTGTTACTAAACTTCTTGGCCAGTACATCGTTGCCATTGTTGTAGCCTCTGAAAAGGTAGCAAAAGATTGTATT